CACCGGGACTCTTGATGCCAAACAACATTTGGAACCCAAACACAGATAAGCATATTGCTACTGTCATCATTTTCTGCAATTAATAATTATTGAAAATGCGTAGGAATATGAGAAAGAGGGAAAGAAAACACCACAAAGGCGGCCTGTATGGGGCTCTGAACAGGCAGGCAAGCATCACAAAGGAAGGCTCATCGCCCATGAGCCCTTCCCTGACCCTGCCTTCTGAGAGTATGCTGTACCTCTGCTACAGCTGTTTAGGTATTACTCTCGGACACACCTTGCCCTCTGGACTTGACTGTAAGCGTCTTATGGACCGGGCCTAGGTCCTGAGAGACAATGCATGGCAGCAGTGGAAAGTACAGGCCGGGATCCAAGCACGACGTTACCACTTAAAAGCTGGTCAACTGTGAACAAGTCACTTATTGTCTCTATGCCTCAGTTTCCTCATCTGCAAAATGGGGATAATAACAGTACCCACCTCAGAGGACCACAGTGAGGATTAAATAAATTAATACACAGTGAGAACTATTGATCATCTCTAAATTTCCTTTAGGGCCTACTTGGCATAAAGCCTCTCACATATCATATGCTTATTAAATATCTGCAGATAGAGTGATCTGTCCCTGGAATTGTTTTCTCCATCCCTCTCACTCCCATCCTAACTTTCCTGTCTTTTATGAAAGGTAGGTGGTAAGTCACTGCCTCATTCTGAGACGTTTAGTGGAATAAAGACAGCACATCTAAACAACTCAGTTCAAAAAAACAATCTTAAATAATCCTCAAATTCTCTCTAACCATATTAAAGCAGACTGCCCACTAATAGCAATGTAACCAGATAATTTCCAGCCTCCCCCTCATTTTGAGCCCAGTAGTTTTAGGATCTTTCACCCACCCCAGAGTCAAGGCTCACTAATTCAACATTTCTTTTTTTTTTTTTTCCTGTAAGTATAAATGGGAAGCCAAACTGCTCAGAAAGCTATACCTAGTGTGTGTCACATCTAAAAGAGTCCATATAAAGCCTCCAGAAAAACCTCTAAAGTTATAAAACATGTCCATATTAATGTGATTTATCAAAGTACAGTAAATGAATTGCCACAAAAATGAACAACTGCTCCAGAGTCAAGGAGGTGGCACGATGTGATTTACGCAGGTCACGTGAGATGAATAAATCAACGGTGGGAAAGATCAAAGGAAATGCTGGAATTGTTGTTGCTGTGTACAGGGCTTCACTGAAAATCTTCTTAATGAAACTGTTTAGAGGAAAATAGAAGGATCATTTGTTTAAATGAAGAGAGATACTGCATGCACTGAATTTCAAAAGCGGCATTCATTTTCATACACACACATATTAGGTTTAGCTAAAATTAGCTCAAGTTCTGATTTTTTTTTAAAAGGTTTTAAAGGAATAAAGGTTTCGACAAGATTTCATTGAGCTGAGTCTCCAAGGTGCCCGAGCTTCTAAGGCAGACCCCCGTTACCCACCCATGCATCATCCCCACCTCTCCACCCACCCTCCCTCCCTCCACCCCAGGTCTGAAAGAAGACACACACAAAGGCTGCGCTGCACCGACATTCCAGCTCCTCTCCGCTGCCTCTGACCTTCTCTCTAGGCATTCTACGCCAGCTGATGTCATCCCCGAAGTACAGTCATCCCCTCTGCCTGTCAAACTTGCTGCCAGACACAAAACCCAAAGCCCAATTTCAAAGATCACTTGTAAGCCAATGACTTCTCCAAATTTATCTCCAGACCTGACCTGTCAGCAGTTCTGTTCCCACACCCTCTACTGTCTGCTGGACTCCAGCAACTCAGATGTCCACCAACACCTGTGCTTCCGCCAAAATGGCCTTGTCGGTTATATACCACGCACTTCCCGGCTTAGCCCAGCCACTTCAATGGTCTGCCTCCAGCTCTATCCATCTCTACCCACAGAAATGCTAACCAGCCTTCAGGGTTGAACTCAAATGATCCCTCCTCCTCAGTCTTTCCTCATCATCCTACTCAGCATCATTCCTCTGAATTCCTTCTGTGTCAGAACGTACCCCAGTAAGTATAAACCACCCCATTCTGCCCTGTCTTAGTTATTTCCAAGCATTTCTTCTTTCCCCAACCTGACCACAAAGAATACATACAGTATAGCCTCTTTGGGGTGGCTCTTCCTCACTTTCATTCCCACAGCACTATGTAGTAGTTCGAAAAACACACAGTGAATAAATGAATGAATCATTTCTTTACATAGAGAGTGCCTGTGAACAAGTTAGGTCATAACTGTGCTATGACCCTATCTTATTTACAAAATAACTTAAACCAGGAATAATTGTAATCTAAGTTTCAATATCTTTAAAAAAACACTTTCACAAATATAAGAGTACAACATGAATGACATTTCCCTGCCCACGTTTAGCCATCAATTGTGAGGACTCTACCGAGGCCATTATTTATGCAAAATGTTTAAATAATGCTTATTAGCTTCCTTTAAGTGCAATCACAGAAAATGTCAGCTGCTTAAAATTCAAGGTGACTCTGCACTACTTGGTCAGTAATGCAATACGAGTATTCATAAGACATTCAGACTTGCTTACTATACTAGAAAAACCTTGGTCTCTATCACCCTGCTGGTTTGCTCAGTGGTTAGAGCACTGGCCCTCAGGCCAAAGAGTCTCGGGTTCAATTCAGGTCAAGGGCATGTACCTCGGTTGCAATTCGTCCCTGGCCCTGGCCGAGGTCATACAGGAGGGCAGCCAGTTGATGTGTCTCTCTCACATAAATGTTTCTCTTTCTCTCTCTCTCTTTCTCTCTCTCTCTTTCTCTCTCTCTCTTTCTTTCTGTCTCTCCCTCGTCCTCCCTCCCTCCCTCCCACTATATCTGAAGATAAATGAAAAAATCCTCGGGTGAGAATTTAAAAAAACACCTTAGTCTCATCTCAATAAGCTTGCACATATTGACCAAGAGATATGACTTTATGATGCCTGTATTTTCACCATAAAATTCTTTCAAATACCACAGGCTTTTTAAAAACTGCATATGTATTAACCACATATTCAATTAACCTACTTCCCCCAAAAAACTAACTTGTGAGGATTTTCTGCCTAGCATATAATTATTACAATGGGTAACACCCCTAAGAGATAAAGTAGCAGTGAGACATCTCAGTTTTCCATTCAGCTGACACAGACCTTAAGAGGCTTACCTTTGCATGTAACTCCAGGGTTATTCTATTTCCTTTCACAGAATAGCTCCCTAACCCACAGCCATAAAATGCAAAGTCCCCAATTCCAAATTCCATAAGGATATAATGTTTGTGATAACTTCCTCCCTCCTCTGCCCTGCCCCCACCCTAATAGACTTCTCTGGCTATCCTTCTTGGGGCACAGTACTTCAGTCACTTAGGTTTTTGCTTGTTTTCACTCAGATCACAAATAACTTATTTTATGAATGCAACTCATCAGTTCATCTTACAACAATATAAAAACAATACACGTGCATCTATCACAATAAGAGTTGGACAAACACAAAATTCAGAAAAACAAATAAAAGTCTCATTTGTTTTGCAGAGCTGCAAATGTCTACAGGGTTTCTCCAAAGACCAAGGTACCAGTATATTTACTTGTTCCTGGTCATGTATAGTCTGGGAGCAACCATCACAATACAAGAATATTAAAATTACCCTGTCAATATATGGTACTCAATCACAATGAAAGCTTATGTTCATGGATCACAAACCATATGCCAGGCAATATCCTACCCCGTATGTGTATATTATTTCATTCCATCCTCACAGCAGCTGTAGGAGAAAGTTCCAATATTATTCACTTTCAACACAAAGACACTGAAGCATCAAAAGGTTATGGAATGGCCCAAGGTCACAGTCGCAGCTCTAGAGGTGAATCCAGACAGGCTGGTCAAGAGCCCCATGATCTTATCTCAGATGCCAGGGAATTCATATGTAACTTAAAAGCTGGATCTTAGGTAAAGAGAGGGAGCGCTTTATTTAAAGAAAACTGGTGAATCATTTTCAAGATGAACATTTTGGTAAAGCAAATATCCACCTCGCAACAAATCAGCTGAAAAGCCACATTTTTTAATATGTGAGATTTGGTAAAAAGTAGACTTTACATCTCACAGTTCCCAAACCTGTGGAACATAAGTAGGATTCCAAGAGACAATTGAGCTTAATTTCAATTCAGTAGGTCTAAGGCTGAGTCCCAAATTGTATTTTTTTATGCTCCCAGGTGACTCTGTCCCCCAGCCAGGCTTGGGAACCTCTGAACTAGTCTATTTCCACAGCTTCCAGCAGGCCCGCTCCCAAGGCAAATAGAGGGAATCATTTCACAACTGCCTTTGGTTGCGTATACCAGTGTTCCCAAACCCTACTGCCCCAGCTTGTGTCTAACTCCCATCTCTCCCGACTTCCTTTAGGCAGTATCCTCTTGTCTTCTCTTCAACAAAGAACCATGAGTCATCAACCCTGCATACACCCTGTGTCTGCATGACTTTCCAGGCCAGAAAAATTTACTGTATGTGAGGAAATCAGGAAGTTGTAAAATCCACACAGACACAGAGAGATTCAAGATTCAACAAATACTGGTTGCCACTGAACAAACAGGCCTCGGTCTCCTTGCCCATGTGTCCCTCTACAACAAAAAACATAAAATATAAAAACTGCACTTTAAGATAACTGCTTGGTAGCAAAACACTCTCACGGCATTGAATAAAGGTGACAATTAAAATGACCAGGCTCAAGCCCAGCACTTAATAATCGATCATCACCAAGTCAAATGTTGACTTCTTCATTAGCCAAATAAATGAAACCAAAAAGAGAGATATGTAAACCCAAGTTTTAAAAAAACCCTCTTGGCAATTTCTCCATTTCCGACACAAAATGGCTTGCAGAGACCATTATATTAAACAGGCCACAAAGTGCTACAGCGTGGCTAGCAGGCGATTTTCCAGGCAGACTTTATCCTCAGATGGGAACTCGAGAGCATCGCAAAACCCTCACCTGATATGTGATGCACTTCCCTGTAGCAGCCGTGGAGGAGGAGACTTCTGTACAAGGGTGACAAACCAATCTGCAGTTTGAATGGACCACCCTGGTGACTTGCTGTACGGTGCTCCTACAGTGGTTCAGGAGGGCAGGAGAGGAAATAAAAAAAAAAAAAAAAAAGAAACAGAACAAGTTGATTTAAAAAAATAATTCTTAAAATATCTATGCACTGAAATCTTCACTCCTAAGAACATCAAAATTGGCATTTTGTTTCATGAGAATTACACAGATACTAGCCAGCTCAACAGGCAGGTCTGGTTTTACTCAACGGGGCCTCGGAGGGAGGCCAACACACAAAATTGTCATCCCCTCAATCAAATTAAGAGCTTGGTCTCCCCATTTGAGCCAACTACTGTGATTCTTTTCTCTAATAATTCTAACCCATCATCTGATCAACACATGCTAGTAATCATAAGAATATCAGGTGAAAATGAACATGGATTGAATAATAATTGAACCAAAGTCTAATTTTAATGTGGCATATATTACTATCAACATGCAATTTAAAGGACAATCATGAAAAAGCAGTTATCAGCATACCAGTCTAATGGAATAAAAAAAAAAAAGTATCAAATGCAGGAAGTATTATAAAAGTATGCACACAGTCACTAGACTTTCCACTAAACTTTAAAGTAGTTCATTATTAAATGTGTATGTATTTCGTTTTCATTTTGCCACAATGCCTTGCACATGGTTAAGTAAAAATGTTCTGCTGTATGATGAATGAGTGAATGTGTGAAAGGATGAATGAAAGAGAGGATGAATGAATCTTCCATATACCTTTCCATCAGGGAGCTTGGTGCTTGTAGTTTTTGTGAGGTAAAGACCTATGCATAGAAATGGAAGAAGTTGAGGACTTGACCTGCTGACATAGTTTTCAGCCCCACTTATTAAAGTCATATTTTTAAATATTTGTAATTCCCCATTGTCCACATTATATAGAATCAGTAGCACAGTTATTATTAAATATTCCCAAACTACTTATCGCTGGACTGATTTCCAGTCTTTGATTACTGGAGCTGATCTGCACATTTGTTTAGGCTGATTTTAAATTTAGTTTGGGCTTCCTAAGCCCATGCCAGGTAACAGTAGGAAGGAGAAAGCCCATGATTATATTGGGTGTCAGGAAGAAACTATTCTGGAGCTATGAATATGATCTCCAATGTGAATAATCTGTAAACAGGTAAGTGAGCCAATTATCCTTGGGTACATGGCAACACATCTCAGTAGTCATGATTATTTTCATCCCCACACACTCACTATTTTTAAGAGTACAACCCAGCTGGAAAGAAAAATAATTTCAACTGCTTTCCAACACTTTTCAAAGTAATGAATAGTAGCCAGAGTATTCTACTTCTAACTAATCCATTCGCCAAGTATTTATTTAAGCATCTATTATTGCATGCCTGGGACTGATAATCAAAAGAAGTTCGATTTCTAGTCCTTGGTTTTAACCACGTGTAATCTGTGAGTACAGAGAAAGAAGGTAAACTGTTCTAGACTATAACATCTTTGAAGACACTATCCCTCTACTAAAAAGCTTGTTGAGTTACAACTTTAAATAGTGGCCAAATTAAATAGACGCTCACAAAATTCTATTTACTCTTACACAGTACTTGTTTAAGGGGAGGAGTCTTGATTTTATCTAGTAACATCAAATGAAGCATCAGAATACTGGACAGTCATTTTTGAACAAGCTGCAGGTACCATGGATTTGTAGGCAGCACCTGCCTTCTGAGCCGAACAGGTGAGAGGGTGTTTGCCTGTATATTGATGTGTGTGCACACAATCCTATTTACATACCACCTGGCAGATAAGGTTTTATAGAGTCCAAATTACAGTCTCCTCCTACTCTGCTGAAGTGCACAGAACAGTCAAACATGATGCAAATGCTGTAAAATATTAATTTACTCTCTCGTTGGTATGCCTACTTATTTCAAAAGTATTTGCATTGCTACACTAGCTACAGTAATTAAGAGAGTTAACTTGCTGTATCAAAGGGAAGACACACAAAAAGAAGAGCAAGGAAGGATGTATTCACTGCAAGATAATACAAACAATATAAAAGAAAATAACCTATACTGTTTTGTACAAGATATACACTAAATATGGAATATTTAATACTTAAAAAGCACAGCAGAGTAACATAACACAATGCCATAAATAGTAGAAGATTACTAAGAAAGATGACCTAAATAATATTGATGTGCTAGTCAATAAAGAGTAGATAATGTGTAAATAATGTAAACACAAGAGATAACATAAATACCTCGGAGAGAGTAGGCCTAAACTAAGGATGCAATCAAAGAAAATTTGCCATACAGAGTGTCAAAAAAAATGCACTTTCTTTGAATGTTAGAAGCATAAATGCTTATAGGTCAGCACTTCTGCTATATGACTCCCTCGAAACATGTCATGTTAAAGAGCACCTAAGTGGAAAAAAAAGAGTTCCTCTTAGCCTGAATCAAAACACCATAAGGAGTAGAGCCTCTGGCCCCTTAAGTCTCAAATTCTGATTACATTACAGTGAATTTTCTGAGAAGTAATTTTCAGGTAGGATACAATTTTTGCTTACATTATGACAATTATTATTGCATTTTCATTACTCCACAAATGGGATGCATTAAAAGGTATAGAAAAATCAATGAAACATTTCTGCTAACATCAAACATGTCAAAGAAAATAGAACATTCACTGCTTTTTTGTTAACAGTTCTAAATATGTTTTAGTACATTTGCGATGGTAATATGTAGTACAAAAATTTATTGTACATTAGTCTGAAAAGCTCAAATTTATAAGGATTATAAAATATATACACTGATAAAGACAAAAAAGTATAAACTATGAAATGAGAAAAATATTTTAAAGAACTGTTTACACAAAGAAAGATTATTTACCTAAATCTTTAAAAAAAATTTTATTGACTGATTGATTTTAGATAAAGAAGGGAGAGAGAGAGAGAGAAAACCATAGATTTGTTGTTCCATTTATCTGTGCATTCATTTGTTGATTCTTGTATGTGCCCTGACCTGGGATCAAACCCACAACCTTAGTGTACCAAGGACGGCACTCTAACCAACTAAGCCACCTGGCCCAAGCTACCTAAATCTTTTTATTACTCCTGCAATTTTAAGCATTTATATATATATTTTAAAACCTTGATCCAATTACAACTCTTTCAGCCAATGTTTAAAAATAGTCTCTAAAACCAGCACTCGGTATTCTCATTATTGTATCATCTCTTAAAGAATTTTTGAATGAGTATTTTATTAAACTGAATTTAATGAATCTAAAATCTGAACAGCATAATTTCAATTGCTTTCCAATCTCATATTTTAAAAAGAGGGTGGGGGCAGTCTTGTCTGTAATGCCTTAAACAGAAAGTATTCTCTCTATTGGGATTTTTAGATGATTTTCTATTTTCAATGCTTTTAACAAAATAAGGAGGGCCTGCTTCTGATAACTGAAAGTATGCCGGGAACGAAATCTGTTTTTTGAAGCACTTAAACTGCACATATCTAAATCTCTCACAGAGACCAATCATCCAAATTATTGAGTTATTCTGAAAACATAAAGCAATAGAAATAAAATTATCTCCCTCCTAGAAATGCTATTCTGTTCTGCTGCACTATGTCACGTTACATATGCAAGTATTCAAGCTCTTCAGAACCTAAACTATGTTATTACTTTCAAACAACTATAGTTTAAAGAATTAACATTTACTCCTACATTTACCTAATTTCAGGGTTTTAGTAAAGTAGGTTTATTGACTAACTTCTAAGAGGAAACAAAAGGAGCTGGTTGTCACAATGTGTTAGTCATCAGAAACTGTCATGGAAGCTAAGTGCCAAAGTAAAATCCATTTGACATTTCAGAATGGAAAAAAAAATAAAGGCACATTATACAAAAGGAATGTGAGTCCTCAAACTCTGCAATGACAACAAAAACAGGAGTCACAGAAATGTGTTCACTAACATTTTAATATTCTCTTAAGGCTGACCTTTCTCAGGACTCCCAGACAACTCAGTAAGGTATGTTGAAACGTAGGGCCATCTACAGGCATTTGATGTATGATCTGATGGCTAAAGAGTTTTTCTTGAATCTTTCCCTAGTAAAAAACAACTCAGAAGCCCTGAAGCTGATTTATAATATTCCTGATGAAGTATCACTTCTGTTTACCAAACCCTCTTGAAACGAAATCCAGAGAGGAAAATATTAACTTGCACAGTCAAGTACATTTTTCATCCTTATTTTAGCACAAATTTGTGCACTCAAAAATACATGTTCACATTTTTAGGGTAAGTGAAAATGATTTTCTGTAAGTTGCAAATTATCATCCGGGACCTCCAAGGTGTTGTGTAAAACTTATACTTCCGTGCTTTATTTTATATCCTTGCTTCCCATCTGTTTACCTCCTAGGAATAACAGTAGCACATTTTAACCACTGCAACTTTTAACCACTGCAACTTTTAACCACTGTAACGCTTGATCTTAGCAGGCCACAGTCCAGTTACCAAACACAAACTCACTGGTAGAAACTGGTAACCCCACGCCCATCCCCAATCCTGACCCCAGAGAAAAAAGGACTTACCAATTTAGCTAGGGGGCTGTAAAACTACACTGGCAAGGTCACAATTAAATCAAGGCATGATTTAATTACTTTTACTTTCGAATATCAGGGTTATTTGGATTGCACGAGTAACCGAGCTTCCACAACCAAAGCTAATTTTCTTTTCTTTTTCTAACACTATTCTTTTTCTTTGCTTAACAGGCTTAATATGGTGGTGCCCTAATGCAAAGAGTAGACTGCTGCTCTCTAAATTATTAAATGCTCATTAAATTATATCCCAAAAATAGAGCAGAAGTTTATTGTGCAAAAGCACCACACATTATCAGTCTACCAGCTACAGACCTATATCATCTCTTTCCTGAGACAGAAACCTTTTAACTTACTACTGCAGATTAAAGATCACTGCCAAAAGATGCACATGAAGAATGAATACATTCAGAATGGCTGCCTACTGTCAGCCCCATTTTTTGCCATTATGATGGCTGTAAAGTTTTAAAATGTGACAATGGGGATAGCCTTCTCAAATAAATTGCTTCCACTGAATAAATCCTTTAGAAAACCACTCATGACTACTGGCAACTTAGATTCTAAGGGATAATCACTTTCACACTTGAAAGGGTTAAGTTCTGCAAAGCCAATGGCACCAGAAGGCAAAAGAAATGTTGCTTTAGTCAGCTCTGAAAGGTTTCTAACAAGTACCAAATACTTGTTGATCTGTTCACAATAAACACCAGCAGGATTGTAGGGCTCCTTTCACTGTCTGGGAGAGGCATTTACATACCGCACCCAGTAAGAACAGCTTGTTGGTCTCCTTTATAAGAGTATGGAGAAGACTCATTCAGTGTCTCCCGACCAAATGACTGAAAGACGACGCAATTGAAATAGTGAAGTCTCTCGTCTGACTTGGGCAGCACAAATACTGTGCATTAACACACTTGGAATAGACCAGGCAAAAAACAAACTCACCTGAATGGACAAGGAACACTGCCTGTTGCCATGGCAGCCTGATCTAATTACATGAGTGATCCGGGTTGGAGTAAGTGCACCGAAAACCTACACCACTGACCATATCTACAAGAAGAGAAAGACAGGCAGGCAGGAGGTTCAGGGGAGACTTCAACTTCTGCTTTATGCAGAAGGGCACATTTAAGCCCATTTGTCTGTGGAGCTGTTAAAATACTGACTGATGCATGCAGTTAGAGGGCAGTCAAAGGAGATTAAATGCTACAACATTAGCCTTTATGGTGCAATCCCTTTCCAAGAGTACTTGTGCAGGATTTTCTCATCCTCCTCTATGGTGGTTTCCCCAGGCATAGGATTCATTCCAAAAAAAAAGCTCAAGTATCAAGCTTCCTTCGCCCACCAAATAAACCACAGGGTGGGCTTTAACAGGGGCTTCTAGGAACTGCAAGGTTCCTCAGAAACCCAAACAGAAATGGCTTAGCTGACAATGTTGAAAAGTAACTAGCTGAGCCTAAAAATAACCATCAAGCAACTACCCTCTGCTGAGTATATGTAACGATGATGTTTAAATATTAAGAACACCCTGCATTATAAAACACAAATGTCATTGAGCTGTGATTACTAGATTGCCAAAGGAGAACTTATTTGCATACACACATTCCCGTGCATGCACGACAGGATGTGCAGGGAGTATGCCACTCCAAGGCATTAGTTTTGATTCTGTGGGTGTAATGGGGTCTTCTAATTTTGCTAACTGTATCCTGTGGATCTCACAGGGAAGCTAAGAATCTCTTCGGGGACAGAACCAGTTTGGAGGAGTCCCTACTGCACAGCATACGGTAAACAAAATAAAAATAGCTTGCCGTTCTCGTTAGCCACATCGAGCATTATATAACCAGCTTCCGACTGGCTTTTTTTTTTTTTTTTCTTGCCCTTACTACTCTTCAGCAATTTCCCAATCTTCCGAAGTATTTATATTACCCTCTTATCTGTAGGATTATATACTAAGAAAGCAAAACAAAACAGAACCGCCACACGGGCTTGAACCGAACCCCAGAGTCCTTAGAAACTGATTTTGTTTGTTTGTTTGTTTTGTTTTGTTTTCCGGCAGGATCTCCACCACCACCCTACTGCCACCCCCAACCAAGGTTCTCTCTCAATCTCCCTAAAAAACCTGGATTGTTTCATCCTTCCAGTCAGCCCCCTACGTGGTCTGAAATAAAATGAAAGCACAAGCCACGGAGTTCGGGCTGCCGGCCTGAGGGCGGCGGGGGTGGGGAGTGGGTGCTGAGGGGTTGGGCGCTGCAGTCAGCCAAGTGGCCTCAGAGGGCCCCCTCCCCATGGCGACGGCCCCTGCCGACCCCCCCCCCCCCCCGCGCGCACACACACGCGCGCTCAGTCACTCACACTCCCGCCGCGCTCCGCCACCGCCTCACCTCTCGCTCCGCCCGTCCGGCCCCTTCCCTGCCCCCTGCGGGGCCGGCCTGCGCGCAGCGCTGGGACCACGTAGGAGGCGGCGGCGGCCGCAGGAGTGGCAGCGTCTCCGGCCGGGCCCAGAGAACAAGCAGCGGGGCTCCAGGGCGCATCCCAATCCCCGCAGCGCCTCCACCGCCGCCTCCTCCTACCCCTCCTCCTGGCTTCATTCACCCTCCCAGCAGCCGCGCAGCCGTTCACTCCCGGCGCTGGCAGGGCAGCGCCTGACGCCGCTCCTCTGCTCCTGCCGCCGGCGCAGGCGGGGGCGCCGGCCCGGGCTGGGGTGCTCACCGGCTCCCGGCTCCGGGCGGCGCGGCGGCTGCACAGGATCAGGAAGCGGCCGTACCAACAGGGCCGCCACTGCCACTCCGGCCGTGCTCCCAGCACCCGCGACCCCGCGCCCATCCCTCCGCACTCCTCGCGCTCCCTCTGCCTGCGCCCGGCCGCGCGCAGAGTCCCGCTCCCCTGCGGGCGCTGACCCCTCCCGGTCCACGGCCGCACGCCCGGCGATGCCGGCCTCCGCGAGAAGACCCCCGCCCCGGGGCACCGAGGCCGGGCGCCACCCGCGGGGCAGCCTAGCCCTCCTTCTGACCCGCTCGCTCCCACCGCCCTCTTTGGGAAGATGGGTGGGGAGGGGTCGGCGATAGGAGCGGGCAGCGCGACCCCAGCCGCCGCCGCCTCCCTTTACCCCACCTCCAGGGAGGAGGACATGACTCTCCGCATTCGCGGCCAGACCAGCAGCCGCCCAAGCGGGGCGCCGCCGCCGCTCTCCCGCCCGCGCCCCCAGCCCGGGCGCGCCCCCTCGCCCGGCGGGCGCCCACCTGGTACCCCGCAGTCCCCCTGCCGGCCATCCCTGCGCCCAGAGCGGGGTGTCGGCCGGGGAGGCTGAAGCCGGGGAAGGTTGTATGTACACGCACACACACACAAACAACACAACACGCCGCGTCGATTTCCTTCGCTCCTCTTCAAGATGTTTTCCGTGCTGCCTTTGGGGGTTTGGGGTTTGTTTGCTGGTTGTTGCTTTGGCCCATCTCAGGAGAGCGGGGGTAGGGGGAATCTTAATCTAAATCAGGGGAGAAGGGGTTGGGGGAGGGGGAGAGACAGAATCAGGAGAAAAAAAATCGCCACTTACTGTAAAGTGTAAATGGATCTGGGGTGGCGTGGGGAAGGGGGGGCAGAGGGAGAGAAACAGTGTCTTGCGGCTGCTGTAGCTCTGGCTGCTGCTCCAAGGGGCTTGTTTTGGATCCCCCTGCAGTGAAACAGGTCCTGTACGGCTCCGCCACTGTAGTAGAAATGATGTCTGCGGTATACTCTGCTCTCTCCTCCTCCTCCCCCCACTCCCTTCCCCTCCCCTCCCTCCTCCCTCAGCCCTCCCTCCCTCGCGCTCTCTCGCGCTCGCTCGCTCGCTCCAGTATGTAAATGTGTAATAGAAGCCAAATATGGAGCAGTTGGCTGCCGCCGCCGCAGCTCAAGGATCCGACGGGGCGGGGTGTGGGGGGGGCACCCTCCAGCGGGCGGCGGGGCGAGCGGCTCGGAGCCCGGCAAGCGCACGGCGAGCGGCCGGCCCGCACCCTTAACCCTTCGGTGCGCGCGGCCCGGGCTCGGCGGCCCTCGGCAGGCGGGCGCGTTTCCCCAAGACTGAATTGGAATCGGGGGGCGGGGAGCGGAAGGGGAGGCTAGGGCCTGAGGGGACAGTTCTTCCAGGTTTGGGAAAGGGGCGGGGAGCTGAGTCGATGAGGTAATTGTAGCGGTGACCGGTCGGTCCTCGCGCGCCTCCCCAGGTCCCTGCACCTAGTTGAAGGGGACAGAGCGAGAGTGGGGTGCAACTTAGGCACCCTGGAAGAATCTCCGGCTCGGTGCAGTGAAGTACCCCAGGAGGAGGGGAGGCGGGCCGGTGCTGATCCCTACGTGCCCTTCGTCCCGGGCATGCCGAGAAGCTTCCAAGAGGGCCGACTGCGATCACCCTGCCGGTTCACCCTCCTACCGTTTTCGCATCTGCGTTCCGGAACTCAGGTCGCCGGGCCGCGGGGGATGCCTTTGCGTGCAACTCTAGAAAGTTTTAAGGGTCCCCCCGACTGCACATGCACCCTAACCTTTACTGCGTGGGAAAGCCGGTGACCTCCCTGCCCCCCTTTATCTTCCTGCCGTTCCGGAAATCTGCTGTTGGTGTGGAACTACCTAGCTCTAGCCCTCGAAGACAACCAGCGTACTCCTCTCGGCGCTAATTCGGGATCATTAATTTAATCGGAAATGAGGTAACCAGTGTAGGAGATAGAGAAAGCAAACCGAGCATCAAATGGCAGTTCTCGGCGAATCCACGCTGAAGAACTTCCTCTGGACTCGACTTTTAAGTGCGGTTCTCACTCCCCACCACCTGCCCTCTCTGTACCGCCTGGTATTAGCTCCGTGGGAAGGAATCTTCTTTCGAGGGGTGCACCTTGCCCACAGGTGTGGCACCTGGAGGAAGAGAAGGCACATCCAGGCTAAGGGGAGCTTACTATGGCGTTCCCCTTGCTGCAGGTAATTCTGGAAAACCAGTAGGTGTCGGGGCAGCAAATGACCTCCTTCAGGTGTTTAGAACCAAGTGTCCAAGTAAGTTTCTCTCTGGAAGCCACCACTTTTAACTGTAAGCTGTATTTGAGAAACCTTTTGGCTGAGTTTTCTTATGACCTAACGGTTAGTCACCAACCAAAGCAGGATACAGACTCACCAAGAGAAATGTGTCAGCTCTTAAACAACTGTATTGTAGAACCAACGTGCTACAGAAATAAAAATAAACATGCTAAGTAGGAAGGTGTAGAGCCTCGGAAATATTTTTTTCGCACATTTTGAAATACCCTATACATATACATGGCTATTTAAATAGAACTACTACTGTTCACTCTTACTCGGTTCCACAACTTTTTTTTTTTTTTTTCCCATTTAAAAATCATTGATTGTTACAGTTTAAACCCCAGGGTTGGTCTAAAGTGACATTGTTGGTCTCATTACAGCCTCTAGTGGACAGTTAAAATCAGTTTTCCTGAAAAGGCTCTTCCTGGTGGTGTGTTCCTTGACAAGCATTGTCAAGGTGAAGGTTAATACCTCAGACATAGGGCAATACCTCTTCCCCCCACTTTGCAGAGCCGGCTTCTGAAAGGAGCAGAAGCTGCTGGCTCCACACGGAAAAGACGTAGCTTTGTGCTTCAGGTATTATTATTACTGGCCTGTGAATAAACAGAGAGCTTCTGCTATTCATTTCCGTTTCAGACAGTTTTCATAAAAACTGAACTCATCTAAAATATTTTTATAACAGAAAATATTGGTTGCCATGTTTTTGGCTTAACTGAGATGTTTTTATTCCAACTCCTAATCTGCAGACTGTCCAATCCACCTCCACTCTATTTTTAGGCATCTTACATTCAGAGAATTTTCAGTAAAAAAGAGCTAATATTTTAATTATTGCATTGGCACGAGCAGTTAATTTAAGGTATTTTAAAAACCTTAAACAAATTAAAACACATAATTCATATTAGAGTTAGTCAATTAATTTAAATATTCCCTCAAGGAAGCTAAATATGTATGTTACCCAAGCCGTAAGAACAATTAATAAGAAATGTGTCATTTACTGTCTTAGCCATTAAGATTAAAGCTATAAATTGCCATTAAAATCTGTAACTATTTCTTCCTACAAGGTCCAAACAACATAAACATAATAATACTCATGATACACTTTTATTACCTTTAGCACTAAAATGTTTTATTTTCAGATGGCAAAATGGTAAATGTATAGTCACAAATAACTGGTACTGATTATTTAAAAACAACCCTCTCATGCCAATAAAAACTCAATGAAAGAAGGGCAGAGCTTTCTAGGTGTCAGTAGGAAAATATGTAGTTCTGTGGTCTTATTCATGAATCTGATATTATATTTATACAATCAGAAGTCAAACTTCGAAATAAAGGAAATCGAGAAACAAGGCCTGCTGAGCCTTACTCCTAATTTGTTTTCTGCATTGATTAAACACCATGGAAAACCATTTCATCCCTTATGTCTGTTTCACTGTTTTGGTAGTATCCACTACCAAAGGTTAAAAATGGGCTAGCAAGTATGTATATCATTACATCTTACTTCTGAATGTGTCTTCAGAAGAGCAGCAACAATTGGGAGCTTTTTATACAACCAGAATGAGTGTTCCACCCAGACCTACTGAATTAGAACCTGCCTTTAACCAGCCCCTATGTGATTCCTAAGCACATTAGTGTGAAGAATGCTGTCTATACTACAAGAGCCCTGTCTACATGAATTTAGCCACAGATGCAGGACTTAATTCCTCTATTTATTCCTTTTTTTTATTCCCTCCCTCTTTTATTAATTTTCACTTTTTAGTGAAAAATTATTACATTTTATGTTTTCGTTAAATAGTACTGCATTTCAGAAGAGCTGTGATTTATGCACAAATCCGCGTCATCATTACCAAGAGAACACTCTGAGGAATGTATTGGGGTCTTGAATGTGAAGGTTTTTCTCACGGCAGCAGAGGGAGCACAAGAATACTTAATAAAACAGGCATCCAAATCATAAGGGATATTAAATTGTAGTATATGTTTTCATTGTAAGTAGGCTCTCACATAGTTCAAAACAAAACAAAAACAAGCAAACACAAATAGTTGACCCAGTTAGAACAACTAAATATCGAACAGATTGGAAGTTAAATAGACAATAGATGTATTATTTGGAGTTTGGGGCTTGAATTCTTAAAGTGGACCTCAAAAGTCATTCTTGGAAAAAATACCTTAGCTTTTCTCCAGTCACGAATAAAAATAACATAATCATATCACAATATATGTAAATCAAACCGTTGTGAGTATGCCTTAAACTTGTAGGGTGATGTATGTCAATTATTTCTCAATAAAATTGGAAAAAAATAAAGATGACATACAGAATAAGGCAACTTTAAGAGTAACTCCTATTTATTTTTAAATGTTGGGCTCAATTAAACCAACACTGTGTCTGATAAGTTAATTCATTACATTTAAATATGTTGATGAAAGAATGCACTTCTCACCATGTTTAATTTCACAGTAATTTTAGGCTGTTATTCTTAATGTTTGCAGCGGTGAGGGCTTACGTTTCAATGATATCTATGTAGCATTTTACATTTTTCACAGCCTTCCGTATTACATGTTCACATACTCCTGTGAGGTGGATAAGACATGGGAAAGCCAAGCCGCAAACAAAGTTTTGCAATTGGTTTGTGCTGTCATAGCATTGGGTCATTTAATTGTTTTAAGGATCCAGTGAGGTGTTCATGGAGGAGATAAATCATAGCGGTTAGCCCTGGCTGATTTTGCTCAGTAGTTAGAGCATTGGCCCACAGACCAAAGAGTCTCGGGTTCAATTCCGAATGAAGAGCACGTACCTCTGTCTGAACCTGGTCAGGGTCATGCGGGAGGCAGCTAGTTGATGTGTCTCTCACATCAATGTTTCTCTCTCTCTTTCTCTCTCTCCCTATTCCTTCCTCCCTCCCTCCCACTCTGTCTGAAAATAAATGGGAAAATAATCTTGGGTGAGGATTAAAACAAAAAAATCATAGAGGTTAAAGATCTGGCAGCATGTTCTTCACAATTTTAAAGGTTTTTCAAAATTACTAGATAATAAATATTTAATAAGTGGATATTTAAATGAGAGACTTATGAATAGAGACTGTGTCTTAATTCTCAACTTGCTTTTTATGTATTTATCATTGAACCAACAGCCTTTATGATTTTATGTATTTATCACTTATTTACCAGCATTTATTGTGCATCTAGAATAACTAGGTTTTGAGAATATAAAGATGAGTAAGACATCTTCATTTGCAAGGAGTTCACAGCAAAATAAATACTATCTTTTGAAAAATCTTCATTTTTACCATGATAAAAAGGTAAAGACTCATGCTTAGCCAGTGTAGCTCAATGGTTGAGCATCAACCCATGCACCAAGAGGCCACCGGTTCGATTCCTGGTCAGGGCACATGTCTGGGTTGTGGGCCTGATCCCCAATAGGGGGCATGCAGGAAGCAGCCAATTGATGTTCTCTCTCATCGATGTTTTTCTCTCTCTCTCCCTCTTCCTCT